AGCACAGGGAGATCAACTCGGTGCTTTGTGACCACCTAGAGGGGTGGGATAGGGAGTGTGGGAGGGAGGGAGGCGCAAGAGGAAAGAGATTGGGGAACATATGTATATGTATAACTGATTCACTTTGTTATAAAGCAGAAACTAGTACACCATAAAATAAATAAATACATAAATAAATAAATACGTCCACTCATTATGCTGCTAAAAAAATAATAATGACATGTCTGTATGTTATTTTGGAGAGAATCTTTTCAACATACAATGTTAGGTGAAAAAGTAAGATGTAAAGCGGTGTGTGTTATATTTCATTAGGAAGTGTTTTCTTCGTTTTAGAGGAAAAAAAAGCATATCCAAAAAAATGTAAGAACATTTTAGAAAGAATATACAAGCTTTCGCAGTGCAGAATGGGGCCTTTGGGAATGGGACAGAAGGTCTGCTGTGGGAGACTCCTTTTTTTTGCATACCCTTTTGCATGGTTTTATTTTGTAATTATGTGCATGTTTTATATATATATATTTTTTTTTTTGGCTGCATTGGGTCCTTGATTCTGCGTGCAGACTCTCTCCACTTGTGGTGAGCTGGGGCCACCCTTCGCTGCGGTGCGCGGGCTTCTCATTGCGGTGGCTTCTCTTGCTGAGGACCACAGGCTCTAGGCGCGCAGGTCTCAGCAGTTGTGGCGCACAGGCTCAGCCGCTCCACGGCATGTGGGCTCCTCCCGGACCAGGGCTTGAACCCGTGTCCCCTGCATTGGCAGGCAGACTCCTAAGCACTGCGCCACCAGGGTAGTCCCTATATTATATACTGTAATAATATTATAATATAGTTGACCTTTGAACAGTGTGGATGTTGGAGCTCACATCCTTGGTGTAGTTGAAAAATCAAATACAATTCATAGTTGGCTCTCAACATCCACAGCTCCCCCATATCTGTGGTTCCATATCCTTGGATTCAACCAACCATGGATTGTGTAGTAATGTAGTCCCCTATTGGACTTCTAACCAAGCGCAAAGATCTGAAGTCTTTATACAAATTCTCCGTTGATGATGGGCATCCATCATTCACATTCACATTGCTCTTCCATAGTCACCGTAAATGGACCTCAGCCATTAGGATGCACTTGAAAATTCCTTTTGCACCATCATATCATAGCATTATAAGTGTGGTGTAACGTGTGGCTATTTCATTGGTACCTGGCTACATATTGGAATGTTTTCCACCAGCCACTATCTGTGACTCGGTTAATATCCATGGAGGTAATACCTGGACATGGTGCATCATGGTTTGTTTGTGACTGTCTCTCTCTAATCTATTATAAACTCCCTGGAATAGAGATTTTGCTTTGGTCATGATTATGGGCCAAGCCTAGAAACGTGGCAGGCAAATAGTAGGCACTCAATAAATATGCGGCCAATGAAAGGACAAAAATAAAAACTAGGAGATTTAGAACAGAATGCTAAAGTCAAAATAACCCGTAAAAAAGGACATGCAGCTTTAAGAGTTTCAGGAGTCATAACGGATGAGGCGATTCTTTTTTTATTCCTCCTAATACGAAATAACTCCCTGGGTTATTTCTAAATTTGCAATTAAGGCACATTTAGAAATAACCAGAATCTTCTAAGCAACTGTTCCTGAAAAAGATTAATAGAAGAGAGGCACAATTAAACTCTCAGAATTTGAAAATCACTTTTTTGGTATTTAAAGAGGCATTAATCATGATCATTAATCAATAGAAAAGAATGTTCACAGAATGCTTAGAAGAAATGTTTGCTGAAGCAAAAAGTCAGAGGAGAAAAGGAAGGCATACATGCCTAGGGCTGAAGACCAACTTTTTTCTTTTTGGTTTAACAAATTAAAGCTGCTGGAAAATAACAATTCACCAGAGGGAAACATTACTGTACAGCCTACAAAATACCGCCAAGGTCAGCAGAAACTCAGCTGTTGGTTTTGTTCTCCTGTGTCGGTCATTGCTGAGAAACGAGTTTCTTGCAAGCCTGATTTAGATATTATGCCTAAGAAGTTACTCAACACCAAAGATTGAGGGAGTACTTTTATTTCCTTTACTACATGCCGACAAGAATGAGTTACAAATATTTTCGGTAATTCTGTGTTTTTTAAAAATTTTTATAAGACTATCCATAATGTCAATGCTCTTTAATTCATTCACTTGTGCTAGATCCTCGGTTTTCCCTCTGCTTTGTGTTTCTGAGAATTATTCCCAAGCAAGTCACTGTACCTCAGACTTTGAAAGCCATTTTAAAAAAAGCAAGGATGCAGTTTTTATACGAAGGGACTTAGCTCAGTTTTTCTGTTTTCAGTTTTTCTGAATGGCTGTGAGATACTCCACGTGGAGTATCTTTGGACATTTCGGTAAAACTTGCATGTAAGCGTCTTAGCTAAAGACTGGGTTTATGGGCACCCAGGCCTCTCTTGATCCTAGGCTATTCCATGCTGACTTTATAGCTTTCAGGTCACTGGGGAAGCCTGTATTGTATTGTCCTGTGTTATTTAGAGTTGCTGCTACAATAAACAAGATAATTTTTGCTTTCCTTTTTTTTGTGCTGCTTTCCCTTAATCGTTGCAATAGCCGGGTCCTGGGTCACCTATGCAATAGGTTTCTGCGAACAACAGCACGCGTTGCAAGGTGGATGCTGGTTTAGGAAGTGTGGCTTGGGGCTCCAGCAGGCAGGGTAGCAAACTAGGCTCATCATCAGAATTAAACCTGTGACCTGAGACTGCATCATACTGTTTTATTACTAAAGTGTTGAAGGAAAGTTCCACATTTTCTACGAATTAATCCTAGGCAGTGTCATGGCTCTTTTCCGTTTATGGTCAAATCACTTAGTCTAATTACACTCCATGTCCTTCTTGGGACCTGAAATCATCATGAAAACCTTTTTTTTTTTTTTTTTTTGCGGTACGCGGGCCTCTCACTGTTGTGGCCTCTCCCATTGCGGAGCACAGGCTCCGGACGCGCAGGCTCAGCGGCCATGGCTCACGGGCCCAGCCGCTGCGCGGCATGTGGGATCCTCCCAGACCGGGGCACGAACCCGCGTTTCCTGCATCGGCAGGCAGACTCTCAACCACTGCGCCACCAGGGAAGCCCCCATCATGAAAACCTTTTATATACACAGATTTATCTTCACCTAACAAACTCTGACTTCTGCCAGAAATCAAAAAATTCCAAGGCCTACTCACCCAGGAAATGTTAGGTCAGGTCTTGCAATCACCTCTATTAAAGAAAACTAAACAGCTACATCAGGAAGTAGGTAATAAAAGGCAGATCGCATTGAGACAAAGACATGGTTACTTTTTTATTTGAAGAAAAAAAAAGTATGTTTTAATAAATACTGCAGAAACATTGACCAAACATACAAAGTGACTTCAACATTTAAAAAACTGCAATGAAAGTTCTGCTTTATAACAGTTATAACTTATTTTCTTTTTACAATATTTAAATACAGAAAGCACTTGCCAGCTATTTCGTAATACTGCCCAAAGCATAATGCTGCATCAATCAAAGCATAGCATGTTGGTAAAATGTCTGTATTTCGTGGGAAATGACTGGAATGGTATTTTCTTGCAGAGACAAAACAAAGTGCTCTTAAGACACAGACTGAATGCTGTAATTACCTTAATCTCCTTCCTGCCACAATTGAATGGGAGCACAGCTTCAACACTTCAAAAATGAAGCTTTATCATTGGAAAGAAAGCTCGTTTTCAACAAGCGCCAACAATAAAAAGGTCAGATCTGGTTTCTTCTCTGAAAGAAGCTCTAAAAGTAACAGGTCAAAAAATATCTGTAAACTATTTTAAACGCTGACTCTTTTAGGCAACGATAGTGATAAAGTATCAAACACGGGCCTTGGTGGAATCTGGTTAAGTGAGGTTTAGCAATCACTCTCTAGAAATGCCCTAGGATGGAGTCAGGACTGACATCACATAATTTTCCTCTAAGGATTCTCGAAAGCTTGGATCAGAGGGTCCTTCTGTATCATGTTCATTGAAAGAAAGTGAAATAAACAAACTGATCATCAGATATTGCCAACTTTGGAGCTTCATCCCAAAAGAGGTTTTTTGCTTTGTACTTTTGGTATCTTAATTCCGGACAGCTTAACTCACAAACTGTGCTTTCTGCTACTATCCTTCATTCGTTATCTCTTCAGATTAAAATAGTACCTACATTTTTTCCCCCTTGGACCATTCCATGACGTCAAACCAAGACACCTTTTATTTGACTTTGCATTTTTATCAACGATGGCAAAAAAAAAAAAAAAAAAAAAAAAAAAAAAAAAAAAA